CACCTCGGATGATTCCATCTCAGGAATCTGGGAAGGTACGCCCGGCCAGCGTCACAGGCCTTTGGAGGACTCTAGTATGTCGCGCCGTGTCGTCGTGCATTACTGCTGTCCGGTGATAAGTTACGCATGCCACAACCTTTGGGCTGCGTTGTCTTTGTTGTGCACTACTCCTAGCTATTGGCTATACTTATGCCAAAACAGCCTTTGGCATTTATGAGCTTCTGCCAAAGTGCAACACTGCTTGTAAACGACATTGTCTGATATGTGTCGTTCTCCGTCGCGCGCTTCCTGTCGGCCGGTTATGGGGTGTGTGCAATAAAGGTCCACTTTTAGCCTCTAGTTTCTAGCTGCAAATGCCTGCCGGCCAGGTGTGCGGGGGCTTCGCAGTCATGGTAGACTGTTGTCGCATGACCAATTTCGTGCCGGTTCATACAGAGCTAGCCTAACAAAGCCTGGGAATCCTTTCGCTCAAGCCTATGCCGCACAGGCTTCGCGTCTGGGACATCTGAGACTCCCGGAATCCAGGACGCACTTCTGGGTCGCCAGACAATGGGCAAAGGACATCTCAGTTTCATTTTTAAAAGAACTTTTATCAGTAAAATGATTCGACACATTCTGCAAAGCCATATATCGCAGACGTAAAACCATCCGGTTGATTCTCGCTTCATCTTCGTTAACGTTACACTGACGTCACTGGTGCCGCGACGTCAGTGCGCGGTGGGCTGCAGTCGCCAGAAGCAATACTGAGGGCAACCGGAGCATAAATACATTCGTAGATAATGGGGCAAGCTGTTCGCGAGCCATGCATAGGTCCAGCAAGCTGATTGCCCTAGTTTTTTATGGCGAGTATTAACGTGCTTTGCAAGCCTATGAGGGCAAAGCGCTTTAAACCGCAATGGCATGTGAGTGAAAACACTCTCACGAGACTTAATCACAATATGACGGCTTCACCATCGGGCTATCTTCGTACCCGAAATGAAAAAACTGTTTTTGGCAGATGCATGTGACCAGTGAGCTGACTGCGTAGAAATAAACGAGTGTGGCGACAAGACAGACAAGACGAGTATGATGATACTGCGTGACAACCTCAAACGGCCAGCAGTGAAAATGCCCCTTCGATCTCATACGGCTTCGTACCCCGTGGTTGTACCGCCGCAGGGTGGTGCCAGTGAGTGGCCAGCGTGGCGAGTCTCTTGTCTGTTGCATTTTAACAGCGTTGCTTGCTGTACAGCGAGCCTGTTGTCTGGTAGCAGTACAAACCGGCAAGCTCGGTTTGTACCTGTTCACGGTGCGCCAGCCGTGCTCGGTCCGTACCTGGCCACACCTTGGCGTGCTCAGGTTGTACCTGTTTGCAGGGCCGGCCGTGCTCGGTCCCCACCAGTCTGCATAGTCATGGGGGGTGTTGAGCCATGTGCGTTCCTTGTAGACACGTCTATGTGCGTTGCCATGTTTAACGACAAAGTGGCACGTGGGTAGAATTGCGGGTAGCCGAACTGGGGTGCAGAGCACGATATGTAGCTGTGATATATATCACCGTTTTTAGCTAGAACAGCGTTAACTGAACACTTGATGTATTTCTGTTTGTTTCATACGAGTGGCAGTGCGCCCCAATACGTATATTTGCTTAATCCCTGATATCTTTTATTTCGCCACGACCACTCAAAATCCGCGATGATGTGGACCCACAGACTGTCATGTGTACGGAGTCTCACGGGCAGCACACGCGCCTGTATGAGCCTGGTTCATGGCTGGTTGTGTCTCGGTGTCGGTCGTCACTTGTTTTAGTCCTCTGTGGCAACACCTGTGCTTTGTAACAGTAGATGACCTTCCCTTGCTTTATGCAGCCCCCGTAACACTGTGCTACTTAAGATAGCAAAAAAGCCAAGTTGCGGTCGACCCTCAGCGTAGAATGCTAGCCGGCTCCTGCCTGCGTGCAATGTCAGCAGAAGTTCTCCCCATGCAGGAAGGAAGGATTATAGCCATTAGGTTACTTTTTACAACTCAAGGTTCATCGCACGAACGTATAGTTCTTAACCCACGCCCGGCCGGGGGGGGGGGGGGGGGCGGGGAGAGTTGATTTCCCCTCCAGTTTCCGAGCACAGCTCAAAAACGAATGCTCACAGCAACATCACATTCTCAATGCCCCTCCATCTACTCATTTGGCCTACTTTGTGTGAATGTGATCTTAGGTCAGTCTAGGTCAGATGAAAGAGGTCAATCTCTAAAAGACTTTCCCTGTACGGGGACTTTTTGTAGGTTATTTACCAGTGCTAAACATACTTTAGTGGCAGAATATGACAATACCGAAGTTAAATTAGTTCATATTTTCAAAGCAGGCGAAATGAGTGAGCTGAAGTCAGAGGCAATTCTTGATATTTTCATAAAACATTTACATTTGCACGAATTTGTCTTAAGTTTTGGAGTTTGTATATGTTGAAAAGTAATGCTAGCTCGCATGTGCAGTCCTCATACGAGCATAGAGCACATAACCTTGGCCCAGCCATCACATACTTCCAAGGGTGCCTTCCGCGAAACACATGCTGAGGTTCAACATAGGCAAGTAGGTAATTTTCGACGTAGACATGGAATACTGAATTAAAAAGGTGTAACATCAACTTAAGCCATAATGAGGTCATAAAAGATCGTGTCAGGACATGCAAGATCAAATAAGGTCATCCAAGGAACGATCTGCTTGTTTACCGGCAAGAAGTGTAACCTAATGTTCAGGCAACCCATGTTCAACAGTTCACAGACGCACAGTCTCGTTTTTAAATTGTACGCATTCGGCACTTCCATTACATGCACCTGCCTTGAACAGTTTGTGCATTATCGGTACGGAGGCAGCTCGATGCCATGGCCGCCCATCTCTGCAGCAGTTCTCGCAGAAGCATTTTAAATTTCCACTCTGATTTCATTGGTACTGGTTGGCCCCGAAGCTTGCAAAGCGCATCAGAATCTTTGACGTTGAATACTGCGCGATCAGCTCGCTAGCTACGTGCATCTGTCGCTAACAGTTTATTTATTATCGATGCGAAGGAAGTCCGATATTTCGACAGTCCAATCTGGAATAAGGTCACGTGAATACGTTTTCACTTCTTAGACCATTCTTTTTGAATGGTTGGCGACATAGGCTTCCAATACATACCACTGTACTCGCCATTAACTTTCCATGCAATCGTTCTGCTAGTTATTATGACCTTCTCGCCAACAGTTTGTTCATTATCTGCAGGAGTATTCCCGGTGATTCGGCTGCGCCGCATTGAAAGTCTCGGTACCAGTGACGTCATCGCCCTGTGCAAAGCGGGTTGAAAATCCGACTTAAAGCAGAGTCCATGCATGATATCGCCCTGATCTCTCATGGGAAAGGCATTATCAACACCTATCCGCAGTTTGCATAACAAGCTGAAAAAGCAAGGGGATTTTCCTCTCCGATTGGCTGAGCCCATTAGTCCCACGCCTTATGCGATATTGTGTACGTTCACTTAGGCCGGCCATCGCGTGATATGCCATCAAATTTATACCAGTCGCGACTGTGTCCGTTCAAAAATCGATATAAAGCGAATTGTCTTTCGCCGAGACGACTCACTGCACTCAGAATGATAAAAACTTTACATGACTTGCACGCGCCAGGCCTCTGCTGGTCGCAGCATGGACGCTGCTGTATGACTAGGTGACGATGAAAGCGTTTAAGTGGAATGCACACAAAAAGAAGCTTTGAACTTCGAAGATGTATGCTCAACTGATTGACGGGAAGGACTGGCACGGGTGAGGTCGTCACTGGTCTCACACCGTGTGCGATGGCTTCTGACACGAGTGTGGCCCTCCGTTGCCGTGTCACGCTGATGGCACGCGACAGCCCCTCACATGCGTCCCCAGTCGTCGCGCACCGCTGACCCGACGCTCCAACGATGCCCAGGTGGACGTTTGTCGACCGAGCTCACTCCCGACCCGCGATTCGCGACCGTTCGATGAAAGGGTGGGCGCGGCAGCCGAGGAGGGCACCGTGGCGGGGCCTGCGAATTGTACCCGAGGGACGCCAGACGGCAGCCGCCAGTACGCCCGCCGAGTGAAAACTGAGCCGAAATGTCGCCGAAATGGCCAGTGAGCCATCCGTTTCGAGGCACCGAATAAATAATACGATGTGATGGACCATATCCCATTTCGTTTGGTTCAGTCTCCACATTTCACTGGCTGAAAACAGGATGGCTGTCCAAATACAAACTGATGTGCCTAACCTCTTTTGTATGGCCGGATGTTGTTGCACCGCAGGCAGTGATGTAGTTGGAAACTCTCCAATGTCATTATGCTGTAATTGTTGCAAATAATCATGATGATTTATTCATACTGGAAAATATTATTCAAGGCTTCCAAACTCGTTACGACACCGCTCCAGGGAGAACACTGAAACTTTGCGACAGACATCCTCTGGGCGTAAATCTGACATATTTCGACCAAACAATGCTGCCCTCCATTGTCCAGGCACAGCTGAAAACTTGATCTGTGGTGGATATATAGGGACAACCCGTCATGTTTCCTGGGACATGCAATGGCAAATTATTCCCATTGAAAAGGCGGATGTTTTGCTGAAACAAATGTTCCTGTTAAGTATAACAAGTATTTGGTCTGTCTATGTAAAACTGTACTATCCTGGCAACATGCAAAGGATGCGCAGGTACAACGACGTCACGAGTTTATGTTTGCTTTCGGTGCCGAAATCAGCATGCGTTTGCTTATGTAACCTGGCCTATATGAAGACTTATGCTGATCATGCGTTCCATCGTAAAGGCAACTTTCAACATTGGAAGATACAGAGGCAAACATCAGATGTGATGAAATAGGTTCATTTTCAACTCTTGATCTGATTTAAATGCAAAAGACTATCTAGACATCAAAGCCCACTTTAAATCAACAAGCTCATAAAAATGTCACCGTCCGATGACGTCATGAAACGTTTGTATGACGCCAGAGTCGCTGTCAGATGTCTGTGACAGAATACCCACTGTAGCGGACGAGGTGAGTCATTTGTGCTTTAACCTGCCGAGAGGTGGCGCACGTACGAGTGCGTTTTGAGAAACTCTAATATTGTTATGCACGCTTGCTCTGGCCGCTTCTAGCGATGTTGTTCCTACTGCCCACATTTCTGTACCGTATAGCACAAAACGTAATTCGCGTTCGAAACTGGCATCCAACGTCTCAAATGGTTGAATCCAACTGACGCCGTGACAACTGATGAATTGCGCTGACGTACATCAGACACGAATAACTCGAAGATCACATGTGCTCTGGGCCTTAAGCACTATACAGATAATGAGTTACAGTATTTACGTTTGTATAACGTCATGAATCGGTGGGTTAACCTTGCATACGTCTGCACAATATAGTCTGCACAAGTTTGCGGACGTCATGCTCATATACATAGCAGGTTTTACGTCTTACAAGGGTATAGCTGTGAACTGTGCTGAATGATCTTCAAAATGGCCAGCTCAGTTCAAAACCCCAGACCAAGGTGGAACACTGCCTTTAGGTGCACAATTAGTAGTGTGATGGGTAAATAAGTAGTGTGATGGGTAAATAAGTGGTGTGATGGATGACTCAGAAATACTTCATTTCTACATTGAAGAGTGCTAACCTACCGCATTTATCGGGAGATATTTAGGTAAAGTTGTTAGTGTACATATTGGTCATGCGCTGGTGAGTGAACTGACCTGTTTTCTCCAAGCGACATCGGGTTGGGGGTTGCCTTCCGCGCCGCACTGCAATGTTACGTTCTGGCCCTGGTCTGTGGTCAGCTGTCCAGACTTGGGCAGTGTCTTCACTACGGGACCATCTGGAGGGAAAATAGGTACGTCAGCAATGCATTGACATTCGCGTGCACTGACACCCACGTTATGCATACATAACGTATTTACGGGTGGCCATGAGATAAAACGAGGAACACGCCGCGCAAATATGCAAGGTACCTGTAGGTGGTATCACCCGTACGCACCAGAGCGTGAAGAATTAAGTTGTCAAAGTTGTCTATACTATATTGATTCTAGATGAAATTCAGGCTGTCTACAAAGTGAACTCAAGATAGCCGCGTCGTTCTACTCTTGGTCAGACTTTTGAGGATGGAATAATGACGTTTTCACACTAGATTCATCATTGAATCGTAATTCAATTGCCATCGCACTGACATTGACAAAACACGCGAGCTGAATTCAGTCTTATAAAACGAGTCTAAAGCAGATGCCGTCTAAAACTCTATTTTATATACATACGTGAGGAAAACTTCTTCGGTTCACCCAGTATTTCTATAAATCAATGACCTAATCTATGGCTAGCATCTCCACACCATTTGCTCAATGCCCGCACCACAAGATTCGATGATATCCTAAATGGTAGCCGATTTCATTTCTGATATCCGATATATACGATATATATATATATATATATATATATATATATATATACTTACTACGAGAGAGTGACAGCCTCAGACATGTCCAATGCTGTAGAAATTTGGAAGCGCCGCGTTGAAGAGTGGCAAAATGGAGCAAATAAGCGATATACGACGTCGTGAATACCGTCGACACAATGATAATGCTCTTCATCAGGAGCGTATGTTCATAGTAGCCCCCCGGGGGCACGTGCCTTCCATTTACAAAATTTGTAGCACGTATGGATATGTACGCAATAAATGTTGATTCATCAAGTATTCGTGAAGTCACGTGGAAATAGGACGTTTAAAAGCATGGATCATCTTTTCCGACACGCAAAAAATGCGTGTGCAATCCTGCGCAAGCTCCTGTTCTTGATGATTAGTTGGTCACCGTTTAATCGTGATTGCGTCGAAAAATGGAACGAGGCTCTATACAATATATACAATAAGCCACCAAAATATGTCTTGGACATCCAACCAAATTCAGAGATGCAGATATCACAAAAAATAACATCATGTGGACTTCATAGACAATGTCAAGTACACGAAACCAGAGGTACATCTCAGTGAGTCTAATTACGAGCGAGACCGTAGAACAAGCAAGCCCTAACTTTTCTGACATCGCCCAACCTCGCGTCTACAAGGTTCGGCAGTTATACGGCTTTACATCTTTGCAATCCACTGACTGTACTACCACGTTTTCAGCAGTAAGTGCCATCTGTAACAATGCCGTTGTTTTTGTTGAAGAATTATGCAACATTGTAATATAACTGATAATCCCGGGGTATTAGTTTTCTTGCCGTGAACGGTGTGGTGTTAAGTGGAGCACGGAGCAGGGAGCACGTTGGAGGGTTTGACTGAAACCCCCATTCTGACCAAAATAAATTAATACTAGCCGTAATACAAAAGCAATGCCTCAAAATTGGAGAGAGGAGAGAGAGAGAGAGAGAGAGAGAGAGAGAGAGAGAGAGAGAGAGAGAGAGAGAGAGAGAGGAGCGAGAGAGCGAGAGGATCGAATATATTATATCTATATATATATATAATATAGATATAGTATAGATATATATATATATATATATATATATATATATATATATATATATATATATATATATATATATATATATATATAGATGTATATAGAGATATAATATAATATACATAATCTCTCTCCTCTCCTCTATTCTCTCTCTCTCTATCTCCTCCTCTCTCTCTCTCTTCTCGCTCTCTCTCTCTCTCTCTCTCTCTCTCTCCTTTCTCTCTCCTCTCTCTCTCTCTCTCTCTCTCTCTCTCTCTCTCTCTCTCTCTCTCTCTCTCTCTCTCTCTTCCTCCTCTCTCTCTCTCTCTCTCTCTCTCTTCTCTCCTCTCTCTCTATCTCTCTCCTCTCTCTCTCTCTCTCTTCTCTCTCTCTTCTCTCTCTCTCTCTCTCTCTCTCTCTCTCTCTATCTCTCTCTCTCTCTCTCTCTCTCTCTCTCTCTCTCTCTCTCTCTCTCTCTCTCTCTCTCTCTCTCTCTCTCTCTATCTCTCCTCTCTCCTCTCTTCTCTCTCTCTCTCTCTCCTCTCTCTCTCTCTACTCTCTCTCTCTCTCTCTGTCCCTCTCTCCCCGGTTTCAAGCGGTCGAGCAAAATGTTAAAATGCGGATATTTTTAAAGAGTAATTTTTGCTTATATAGTCACTTTTCGTTGCGTCTGTTCAGTCACTTTTGCAGAGTGAGTGTCGTACCCCTTGTGGGTTATTTTGAACCATTCAAAAAAGTGCGTACACATAATGCAGATAGGAGATTTTCAAGGGCAAAACGTAACCAAAGTGAAGCACGTGGTTTTCACATATTTTCTCACTATGACGAAAATGTAGATCTAGTTTGCATTAAGCAGAACATAAATTTAAATGTACCCGCCATTGTTGGCATGATTCGATGCAAAAGTGCACAAACTTTGGCTATGGCACAACGAATCTGGAAGGTCTGATGTACTCTGTTTACTATTGCGTAATTACTCCTGTTAGTGATTAAAACATGCCATATTACTATGAAACCGTGCGTTTTTAGGCACATAAATAGTTATTCAAAGGCGGATCCAGATATGCATTTTTGACGGAAAGAATACAACAATTATTCTGCCGTTTGTTCGTTGTGTATTGTGTATATGTACAAATGACCCCCACATATCTGTTAAACAAATGTAAGTACAACAGGCCCACCGGGACATTAAAAGGACGGTGAACAGAGAGAACCAAGGGTGCTCAGAAGGGCGCACGTTGCCTCCTCACTCCCTGCTTCCACCTGGCCTGCATAATGGACAACAACATTCCGTCCTTCGTGAGTCGGCACGCACCGCGTAACAGTCTTTCCGTCTTATCATGATGTACCAGTTGTTCTAGCGACTTAAAAATAGTACGAACTTCCGTCAATAGATGTGTAAAATCTCATCGTCCGCTAGGAGGCAGTAGCTTTCAATTCAGAAATGGCCTTACCTCCATTTTGAGCGTATTTGCTCCTAAACAGGCCATTCATATCGCCGATAATATTGTCAGGCATTGGCATGCACAAGAGCTGGCATTAGGTCACAAATGCCACCCGTACATTTGTGCGCAGAAGGTAGCCCACGCTCTATGGAAGCATTGTACACTTTCCTCGTACGAATGGGGGGCCCTAGCTACCCCTCAGGCATCGTAAACCACGAAAGCTAGAGCCACAGGAAAAACGGTGTTGGAATGCTGTTATCGGAATGCATCGGGTAGATGTAATTTAACTTGTGTGAATGCAAAAGTTTACAGGTTAAATTATCAGGTTTTTATCAGGTTAAATTATCTTTTATGGATTGCCTTTATCCTTTATATGTTTATTCTATTATCTTAAGTACTAGTGCAAGCGTGAGATCGCTAGTACTGACGAGACCTCACCAGACCATATTTTTTCTGGAAAAGAGTTAACATCTTGGGAAACACGCAGGCATAGCGGAAAATTGCCCTTTTCACATTTAGATCAATCTATGCGTTTGGAATACTTTATTTTGGCTAATGCTGGGTACACCGGCAACAGTTTTTTCGATGACTACGATTGGTAAGAATTCATTAGGTTTTTCAAGCGCGACGCTCAATCACACCGAAAAGCCCAGCCAAGCAGGGCATTTGAAAAATAAAATCAGCCTTTAATGCCATCTAGTTCAATCACACTACGAAACACCGAATGCACATGCCACAAGCCAGATGTCATTTAAAATGCTCGAGGGAAACAGGGACAATAGCGTTTTGGCCCACAGGGTCTTTCAGCCAGTGATTTACGGCCAATACGTCGGGGTCGAGCCGTAAACAAGCCGTCGTGTTTTTGTGCGTGGTGCTGCTAGCTTCCACCAAACATGTTTCGCCTGTGAGCACTTGACTGGAAGCCCGAGGGAGCGTTAGTTCTATCCACATTACGTCTAGCTCAGCACATCACAGGGATGCAACTTCGGCGTGGTGATGTCATTAAACGACTGATATATGTTGTAATATTTATACATTACGAAGTCGGGTACTGTCTTTTTCAAAACCGAAGAGTTGTGGCCATATCTTCTTCATCGTGACTGCTATTAAACCACATTTAATTATTTAGCATACGGGCGTAGCTAGACTAGACTAGACAAGACATAACTAATTACACTAGGCTCAAGCTGTCAAGCTGGTACACTCAATGCTCCCCTTAAGATATTATATTTGCCTTTGAAACTGCCGACTTTTGTGAAATGCTGCATATAATTTCTTTCCCTAATCAGAGGTACATTCTTACATGGGTGTTCAATGCAATGCGAGCAAGCGCTCGCTTAAGAACGAGATATATCCTTGTCGTTTAATTAGTGTCTGTTGCCAAAACCTCATCAGGACATAATCAGCGTTGCACTCACAAAGCACATCGACGGTGTGCGTGAGCTCCATCAGCGGCTTGGAGGAGACGGAGCAGGTGAAGTTGCCGGCATCTGGCAGCCCCACGCGGTCAATCCGCAGATTGTGACCGTCCACCAGGCTGAGCCGGCTGTCCGAGTCGATGATGAGGTGTCTGGCCGTCAGCACTCGCTTCCCCTGCTGCCATACCACCGAATGTGTCCCTGCAGAGCAGACAGGACCCGTCAAGCTCAGCAGCGTGGTGAAGCCCAAACGGCGAACCCAGCAGACAGGACCCGTCAAGCTCAGCAGCGTGGTGAAGCCCAAACTGCGAACCCAGCAGACAGGACCCGTCAAGCTCAGCAGCGTGGTGAGACCCAAATGGTGAACCCGGCAGACAGGACCCGTCAAGCTCAGCAGCGTGGTGAGGCCCAAACGGCGAACCCAATAACCGGACAAACACGGACGGGCTCACAGGCGAACGCTGAATTCGACAACGTGACGCAAACGTAACTCACTGCTTCACTGCTGGGCAGAACTGTGGGTGTTTGTGTTTTAATACGCTCAACTTTTGCTATCGTAGGACAGCGTGCACCGCACGTCGGTAAAGTTTATGACACCCTCACAAATTTCTGTCATTTCTGTTTCAATATCAGTTTCACAAAATGACACCAATGTAGTCAACTCACTGTATATGCAAAGCATACTGCTTGGGTCGGTTTACTCCCTTTCCAAACCCGAGTGTCCAGAGTTAAACAAATATCGTGGACTTCACTTTGCATTGCTCACCATCTTAAGTTTATTCCCCGACAGCTCCGTGGTCTCCATCGTCATAGAGGCTTTACGACGCGCACAGCTACTTGGGCTGGGCGGCGTTGCCTGCCTCTCACTCTGGCAGGGCGGGCGGGCACCCCGGGAAATCGAGTCCCGATACTCTGGTTTTCCAAACGCGCAACGTAACCACTATCCCACCGGTACCGGACAGCGTGACAGGCTGTGGGCACGTATTTATTTGGAGCCATTTTCCGAGTATGGGTCATCTATTCCGAATGGGGTGGAGTTCTGAATCAATATTGATGAAAACCCCGCAACTCTCTGATTGCGGCCGAAGTCGGGTAGCTCAACTATTTTGAGCACCCCAGCCCCACGTCGGACAGCACGAATGATGAAGTCGGACGTGGTCAGAATACTAACGGCAGGTCCAGACCGCAGCACGGCGCTAGCGACGTATAAATGTCGTGATTATCTGCGATTATCTGCTTCACCGTCTCCCAAAGGTCACACTGTGGCTGCTGCCGGCACCCTGGTGCTGGAGTCCCCGCACCGCCTCGGACATTTGCAACGTCAGTGCCCTGCCACACTCCTGGCCGTAGTCTTCCCTCGCTCCCGGCACGTATCGGTAACTCCGCTGTGACGCCCTAGTAGCACCCATCCCCTCGCCCCATCTGCATGTTTGGTGCCAATGGCGCCGCTGGCCGAGCTCCGGCCATTGCGGGTTCTCCTAGTCGATCAGTGTGCTGCTGCGGCTGCAGCTCCGGCGCCGCCCCGTCTCACCGGCGTGTCGGACGCTGCAGGGCAGCACCACGGCGTCGCCCTCGCGCACGCTGAACAAGCCCGGCTGCGAGAGGAACTCAGGCTTGAGCTGCGGCGCCGGGGGCACCACCGCCTGGGCTGACCCTGAAATAGAAGCGGCAGTCAGAAGCCGACCGGCACGCCAGACCCCGGCGGCAGCCACAGACCGACCGGCGCGGCAGACCCCGGCGGCAGCCACAGACCGATCGTCAGCCATCTTCCCACGGCGGCCAGAGACCGATCGTCAGCCATCTTCCGACGGCAGCCACAGACCGATCGTCAGCCATCTTCCGACGGCAGCCACAGACCGATCGTCAGCCATCTTCCGACGGCAGCCACAGACCGATCGTCAGCCATCTTCCAACAGCAGTTTTCAACAGCAAGGAGCAGTTTACGTACTGACCTTGCTTTGCCCTTGACCTCAACGCCATGGACTAAAACGCTGTAATAATTGAGGGTGCCAACAGAAGGCAGCTTCATAAAGGCCAAAAGACGTGCTATGAAGAGGGCTTTTAGTAGCAATCTGTGAACCCAAACCAGTTTTGTTTATTTCTGCGCGTGGCCAGGCGCTGTCGAGAAATATCGGTGTTTGTATTTTAACATCCACAAATAACTTTTGCTATTGTCATAATTAATCGTCGTAACATATTTCGGTTTAATACCCAGACATATCACAAATAACGGCAGCTTTTTTTAGCAACATTTCAACGCATTTCAATTCAAATGAATCGCAGGCGTAAAAAACTATCAGGTACGGGATGTTATGATCGCTGTTATTGACGAGCGATCACATCTTCGCAATTATTACAATGTTGGCAACTGGTAATCAGACGATTCGGTCCGGAGGAGTGAGACTCTTTGAGACTAGCTCTGGCAGATTTCTGCTCAAAACATGTTTGGCAAGCCCCAATCCCTTCAAAGCGAGTGCTCCACATTTGTATCGGGTTTTGAACTGAAAAAGCCCATTAAAGATCTTTTGATGCAGTTGACAGCAGCACACTTCTTAAGAACTAAGCCCTTCTAGTTTCTGGCTACACGCCCGTGAAGACTGTACAGACTATTTCGGGGAGACTGTTTCAAGATCGCATAGGCATTCATCACGCCATAATAACGTCATTCAGAACCTGCCATTCCCTTGGCCATGCCGTGATCAGGCGTAATACAAAAAAAGAAATTGTTGAGTCGTTCGTATCTGGCGTTCGTGAGCACGATTTTGAGATTCAACGGTTGTCAGTTTAATCTCAATCAGTTTTGCATAAGGTAAGATGACATGATCAAACAATAATGTAATGCGGAACATATTTACAAAAAGAAAAATGTGTTGTCTAGAGCAGCTAATTCAGCTTCAAAGTGTGCCATGGGCTATAAATGAGCTTATTTCATTATATCTGACGCTTGCTTCAATATCTCAAATGTGGAACATACGCTTTAATGCTGGCATGTAACTGCTAATGTGGGTATCCAACATGAACATTCTATCAGCATTGTCACGTGCACACACTATTGACATACATCGCCAAGCTATTTCCTTTGCTGGAGGTACCCAATCGTGGCTACCATTATTCAGGGTAAGCGTCGTTCACATAATCCACCCCGATTTGATAAATGCAGGCTTTTGAAGCGAGAGTCATCGCTCTTCGTTACGTTCGCCGCCCTGCTGCTGAGCTGCGCTGGCAGTCGAGAGCAATACGCCCTGCTGCTGAGCTGCGCTGGCAGTCAAGAGCAATACGCCGGTCGCCGGCCCGAACCTGCGACAGCGAACAAGGAGCGCTCCTCAGATTCGACAGCGACCCGCCGCGGCCCAATCATGACGGGCTGCTCGTAGTGCCGTGAAGCTTTTCCTGAAACCTGTCAAAAAGTTAGCTGCTCGTAATGCGATATGAAGTTACCAAACTAAATGAGCCACACTAAGAAATTGCACCATACGGCGTATTGTATTCTGCCCTAAATTGCAACAGGAAGCAGCACCATTATTTACTAGATTTCCTCTACTCTAGAAGCCTTATGAAAGCCTGCCATAGTCGCATATACTCCATCAAATCCTTTTCGCCATCTGATGACTTTTTCGTTTCGGCCGGGCTTAACTGTACGCACATCCCAAGTGTCCTTTAAATTTCACCCACTGCAACCATGTCTTCTACGATCATGTCTAAAACGTTGTCTGGTTCAGCTACAGCTTGAGTGATTGTTGCAGAGCGCAGATCCAGGGTTCGACCATGCCACGCGGTCCACTCACTTTTCGTGAGAGTCCCACTTTCACCCTACAAATTGGTCCCCGTGCGCAATTCAGAGGATTTCTTCGGAGGGATGGTTTGAATATTCGGATAGTCGCTTTCCAACGTTTCATTGGACAATGAGAAGAGCATGCGTGCTGTTCTCATACTCATGTTCAAGTTCATGCAACATAATGTCACGTACGATCACTGCCGCCCGGTTTGCTGCGAACAGCAAATGGTGCAGAATCTGTGTGGCATGACGTCATGCATCACACCAAATCAATACATTCTTCGTCGTCCGGACTGTTGTGAATACACCAATAGCGGCGGCAGGTTCGCCAGACGATAAAAGTGAAAACATCAGTAAAACATGAACAAAAACAAACAGCTTCCAAAACTTGTGCTTTCCGGATGTGAAACGGGCTCTACGTGTAAAGAAAATGACTTACGGGGGGGTTGCACATTTATATGAGGTTTTGAACTGAAATGGGTACCTTGAAGACCTTTTGCTGAAGTTTACAGTCCTGCCCTTCTGGAGCAGGGCTGTGAACTTCACCCCATCCTCACTCCCTCAAGTCAATTCCTTTACACAACAGAACAAACTGGGCCCATCCAGTTTGAGGAATTGCAGAGAGCAAAGCGTGACGAGGAGCTCTGAAGGGGAGCGCGGCGGAAGAAGTCTAGATGGCGTCGGGGGGGGGGGGGGGCGGGGAGTCTCGAAGGAGAATCCCCAGAGTCACTGGTTGGTGTTTTAGGTAAAAGGGGGCGAGTGCCGTGCGTCTGTAGCCGACAGTCCTGCATCGAGAGCAGAACGGCGACGACGCCGATCCCCTAGCGATGACCTCTGGCTCCGTGGTCAACGGGGCGCCGGCGACAACACGCACGATGGGGGTCCACAGACCGTCACGCATCCTAATCACACCATGGCCGGCTGTGTGCTCCAAGGCTCTGAAGATGTCCCTTGATTCCCCCCCACCACCAACGGGCGGGCGCGGGCCACAACAGCCTCTTCCCTCCCATGTTCTTGGGTAAAGGGGGTGAGGGACACTGGTCATGCGACGCTCCCGGCCCGGAACTGTGTCTCAGGAGCGACAGATGTAATCGCACAGTTAACGATGGGGGAATATGCCACTCGGTTTCGGCGCTGGGCCCGCGTATAGCGGTAGACTGTAGCGCGTGGGGCGTGGAACAAAGGTCAGATAAGTAGGCTGATGTGATCAATATGTGTGAATTATTTTGCAACTACAGGTGACGGACTGCGTTATAATTGTCTGGCATTCAAGCGAGGCTTGAGGTAATTTGGCCAGACGGCGACACGACATTTGCGGCCGGCTTGGTTGGAAGTGGTGACCGAGACCGGTGACGCATGCTTCGGCGCGATGGATCGTTCATTAGCCTGCGACGATGCTGTCTTGATTTCGCCATTGGAGGTGGCCACGTGGAGGTGCATCGGCTCATTATGGCCTTCGCCGATCCTGCGTCGCCGCCAGGTGCGGTGTACGAGTCAAGAAGGGTCTTCTTTGGCTAGGGCGTTAGTGGCCGCTAGTTGGACCGTTTGCCTGTTCCTGGTTTCCCTATTTTTCCCCGATGATTAGGAACGGTAGAGCTCTGAGCTAAACCCCGTACAGCTCACGTGTGCGGGTTTTGCTTGCAATTACGCTTCCCTCCTTTTTAAATGTGTTGCTTAATCCAGCTTGCCAAGGTTCTGACACATTGACAGATCCTTCGTCGATTCGTTTCCGAATGTCTCTTTAACAGATGAACTCGGGTGGGGGTCAAAATGACCCCCAAAGATTTTCCCGAAAGAGTTTCCGAACGGCGCGGTGCAGCCGGGCCAGATTTCGTGTAGCTGTGGACAACTGAATAGCGGATCGTCTGACATAAAAAATTAAATTCACTTCGTAACGTTGCTGGCCTATGGCATGTCAAAGTCAGGCCATGGTTTCAGCGAAGACACGTTCTAGTAAATCGCTCAATCCGATCAAACAACGGAGCCTTAGACAAAGCCAGATATCTCTGAGATACTTTCTTAGGCAACACAACAATTGAATAAACAAATAGCATTGACCTAGGGTCAGGCATGAAGGTCAGACAAAGGTCAAAACCAACCTGTTCTATTACTTTCAGGCTTAATGTATGGGCTGGTTTCTGGCGTCCATACCGAGTATATTGATAGCAGGAACCGGAATTAAACACCTTTTCTGGACTTCTTATAAGTGAGAATAGGTCATTGACCTAAAATGGCCCAGGCCAACCTTTTTTAGGAACATACTGCCTAGCGTAATCCTTGTCGCATATCCAAACGCGAAACTCAAAACAGTCTTATATCATTTCGATCATCATAACCTTTAAAAGGTCAAACAAGGTCACTGACCTTAAATGAGCGTAAGATATTTTGCTTAAAACAGTTGCCTAGGTTCTAGGAGCCCTTTGGAGGTCAATCTCGAGTTTGACGTTGTTTGACCTTATCTGACCTGAGGGTCATGACCTGGGAACCTCACACTTCGACCTAAGTGAGTTCACGTACAGGTCAACACACCCTGTGAATTTGGTGTCTCTAGCTCTCTTTGTTCCTGAGATCTCAGGGGGGTCGAATTGACCCCCTCCACACGAGCGAAGGGTACTCAACCGGCCACCCGGGCGCGTGTTAAAAGGCCAAAGTCACTGACCTTAACTGAGCGTGCGACATTCTTCTTAGGACAGTTGCCTAGGTTCTAGAGCCCTTTGGAGAGCAATCTGGAATTTGACCTTGTTTTACCTTATTTGGCCCGAAGGTCATGACCTACGAACCTCAAAATTTGACCTAAGGGCGCCCACGTACAGGTAAATACACCCCGTGAATTTGGTGTCTCTAGCCCTCTTAGTCCCCGATATCTCAGGGGGGGGGGG